CAGCATAAAATAACCGATAATTCCAAATCCAGTGTCATATGTGATTTGGAGACTTTGGTACAGGATAAATCAGTGATATGTGTTCCCTCTGTGAGTGAACATATCACAGAGGAAACTAAATCAAAGTTATTGGAACCAGAGGATGCTCTTCCAACAGCATCAGCTGAACCCAGGACCAGTATTCCAGAAAGGAAAATGGAAGAAGAAAATAGTTTGTCAATTAAATCTATTGAGAATACTATGCAGTGTGACTTGCCCATTTGTGGTACAGAGACTTCTTCAGAACCTGTGGAAATGGAACAAGCAGAATCTTTGTTTCCTTCAGCAGCAGAAATGGAACAAACCATTAATGGTGCAAGGCCAACAGTACCTGTGGCACTGGACATATTACAAACAAATGTTTCTCAAAACTTTGGCATGGAATTGGATACTAAAAGAAATGACAGTTTAAATTTGTGTAGTGTTTCTGAAGATATGGAAATGAAGGAGGCTTTTTCAACAAAAGCTGCCAACTCCAATGAAAGCATTTTGAAGCCTTCACTTGAAAAAGCTGACATTTTGCCAGTACTTTCAGAAGTTGATAATCCAAAGTTTGAGTCTTCTCTTGTAGAAACATCACTGGTTGAGAATAAGTCTTGTCATCTGGAGCCTTGTTTACCTAAAGAGACTCTAAAATCTTCACTTCTGCATACTGAGTTAATGGATCACAAATTGGAAATTGGTGAAACAAACTCAATATATAATGATGAGAACTCAGTCCTGAGCATTGACTTTAATCAGCTAAGACCTATTCCAGAAATCATTAGTCCTCTGAGTAGTCCAGTGAGACCTGTAGCAAAAGTACTTAGATTGGAAAGTCCATCTCAAGTTCCATTATATAACAATCATAAAGGTAATAGTTTATATTTTCTTTTATAACTTAACCTTTTTTTGCGATTGTAAAATGCATAAACAAGATGAAGTGGTGTAGTGCTTTTTCTTTTTAAATAACACATTCACACTTACATTAACTAGAAATTGAGCCTTTTGTCTTAATTTAGGTAATTTTAAAATATATATACTTTTATTGATTTCAGAGAAGAAGGGAGAGGGAGAGAGAAATAGAAACATCAATGATGAGAGAGAATCATCAATTGGCTGCCTCCTGCATGCTCCTTACTGGAGATCAAGCCCTCCTGGTTCATAGGTCGATGCTCAACCACTGACCCACACTGGCTGGACAGTAATTCTTATTTCTACAAAAAAAAGGGAGTGGAAGAACAGATTATTTCAGATATTCTTTGCTTGCTTTCAGATCTATATTTTATTTTTATTTTCTAGGGAGAGTAAAAGTAAAAGAGAGGGAAAGACAGAAAAACATTGAAGTCAGGGAAACACATTGATTGGTTGCCTTCTACATGAGCCTCGACAAGGGCCCGGGTTGGGAAGGAGCTTGCAACCAAGGTATGTGCCTTTGACTGGAATCGAACCCGGTACCCTTTGGTCCTTAGGCCAGCACTCTCTCCACTGAGCCAAACTGGTTAGTGCCAGATCTGTTTTTATTGTTCAAAAGCATCATCAGATGTCATAGAGTAGGAAATGCTGCTAACCTGAAGTAAATATACCTGAACAGTAGATGGATGGTTATCCTAAAACACAAACGCTACATTATCACTGTTGTCAGACACCTGAATACCTTCTGAGAACAGTAAAGACCGATGACATGAATAAGTGTTAGGCATTAACATTTTTCAAAAAGCTATTAAAATAATGAAATGCTTCAGTATTTAATTTTGGGGGGGTTAATATTTAGTATAGAAATGTCAAATGACTATGATTTCAAAGGTCATGTGATTATAATATACTTTTATTTTCCACAGATGTGTTTCCACCAAATTCAGCTCATTCCACCTCCAAGAGTCAGTCTGATCTCAACAAGGAAAATCAAAAGCCTGTTTGCAAGTCTGACAAACTTACAGAGGCAGACTCTCATAAGAATTCATCTGTAGTTGAATTAGAAGAAGGAGAAATTATAAGCGACAGTGAAAACTCTAAACCACAAAATAGTTTTGAAGAAATTGCCAAACCTAGAGCTTCTACAGAAGTGCAAAACAGAAAAAGTAGTCTGGGAAATAAGAAAAGTACTGTGCATTTGGATAAAGACAAAAGGAAAACATCTATAAAAGTTCAGCAGAACAAAAGGAATTGGAATAAGAGACAGAGTGAGTCTAGCAGGTCTTCAAAAACAGAGAAAAAAGATAAGACAATGAGTACCTCAGTTCTGGAAAAAATAGTTCCAATTATTGCTGTACCTTCTTCTGTACCAGAGGTTATGCACATGTTACGAATGATAAGAAAACATGTAAGGAAAAACTACATGAAATTCAAGGTAAAATTTCCATTAAAACAATTTCATAGAATTATTGAGTCAGCAATTTTGAGTTTTACATCACTCATTAAACACCTTGACTTATCCAAAATCTCTAAGTCAGTGACTACTTTAAAGAAGAATCTCTGTGATGTTATAGAAGCCAAACTTAAGCAAGTTAAAAAGAATGGCATAGTGGATCGTTTATTTGAACAACAACTACCAGATATGAAAAAGAAAGCATGGAAATTTGTAGATGAACAACTTGATTATTTATTTGCAAAGCTTAAGAAGATCTTAATAAAGTTTTGTGGTTTCACGAACTTTGGCAGTGACAGTGATGAAGGGAAATTGGACAAAAGTAAAGAGAAACCACAATCTTCAAATTGTCAGAAGGGGAATGTGGTCATCTCCAGCAAAGAAATGCCAAAAGAGAAATCCTCAAAATCAGAAGATTCTGTTTATTACAGGTATTCACTAGGATGTAAAAAATCTGAGGACAAACATCAAGGCCAAAATAACTCTGAAATGAACACAGTAAAGAATGACATTAAGAAAAGCTATACCACTTGCTTTGATAATATTAAATGCCCTCCATCTGAAGAGCACTCCTTGGAACTGAACTGTCCCAGTACCCCAAAGCCAGGAAAAATGGAAGTCGCCGCCATAGAGGATACACAGACGTCCCAGCATGCATCCTTGAAGCCAGAACGCTGTTTTGAGATTCTTACTGAACAGCAAGCATCTAGCCTCACTTTTAATTTAGTGAGTGATGCACAGATGGGTGAGATTTTTAAAAGTTTGTTGCAAGGTTCTGATCTTTTGGACAACAGTGTTAATTGTAATGAAAAAAGTGAGTGGGAGTTAAAGACTCCAGAGAAACAGCTGCTGGAGAGTCTTAAGTGTGAATCTATACCAGCTTGTACAACTGAAGAGTTAGTTTCAGGGGTGGTTTCTCCATGTCCTAAAATGATCAGTGATGATAATTGGTCCTTATTGTCATCTGAGAAAGGTCCATCTCTGTCTTCAGGACTCTCGTTGCCAGTTCATCCTGATGTTTTGGATGAAAGTTGTATGTTTGAAGTGTCCACTAACATAGCTTTAAGTAAAGAGAATGTTTGCAGTTCAGAAAAGAGCAAGCCCTGCATTTCTTCCATCCTGCTTGAAGATCTAGCAGTATCTTTAACAGTACCATCACCTCTGAAGTCCGATGGCCATCTCAGTTTTCTAAAGCCTGAAGTTTCGTCTAATTCGACCCCCGAAGAGGTGATCAGTGCCCATTTCAGTGAAGATGCCTTGCTCGAGGAAGAGGACGCGTCGGAGCAAGATATTCACTTAGCTCTGGAGTCTGACAATTCCAGCAGCAAATCGAGCTGTTCTTCGTCGTGGACAAGCCGGTCCGTTGCTCCAGGCTTTCAGTACCACCCTAATCTACCCATGCATGCTGTCATAATGGAAAAGTCCAATGATCATTTCATTGTGAAAATACGGCACGCAGCACCATCTGCTCCCTCCAGTCTTAATCAAAATACGGTGGCTGGTGAGTCACTGACGTCTTTGCCTGGAGCGGGAAAGGAAACTAATGAGGCAGCAGAGAAGGAATGTATTTCATGTGAGAACACAGTTTTTAAACCTGTGGAAGAACTGAAACAGTCCAATGAAAATGTTGACGGCAGTAAATCCGCTCATGAAGAACAGGGCTGTATGATACAAACACAGGTTCCTGATATATATGAATTCCTTAAAGATGCTTCTGGTAAAGTGGGTCATAGTAATGAAGTGGCTGATCAGTGCTTCAAGTTGCATCAAGTATGGGAACCAAAAGTGCCTGAAAGCATTGAAGGGTTGCCTCCCATGGAAGAAATTCCACATTCTGTTGAGGGTCAGCTTCCAAACACATATGTAGACCTCACAAAAGATCCAGTGACTGAGACTAAAAACTTGGGGGAGTTGATAGAAGTAGAAGTTTTAAACATTAATCAGTTGGGATGTTCTGGTAGCAATTTGGATAAAAATACTCAGATATTAGACAGTGTGCAGCCTGAGATTGTAGATGCTTTTATTGATTTGACACAAGATGTTTCAAGTGAGAGTAAAAGTGAAGATCACCATCCAGCTTTAGCTGTTGGACCCTTGGGGTGTGAGGTGTTTTGTGTGGATGAAGACTGTGAGGAAGAAAAGGTGCAAGTAGCAAAAGAGCCTTTGGAATGCATGGTTGTGGAAAGCTGTATTGATTTGACCTCAGACTCTCCCAGTTCATGTGAAATAAAAAAGGAGGATTTAAAATCCGAACCGGTATCAAATTCTGATAGTTTAGACTTGCCGGCGACTTCAGATAATGCTCACAAAAAGAGGAAAAAACTTTCTAGTCTAAATCATTCTTGTCAGAAAAAACCGAGAACGGAAACAGACTTAATCAGTAAGGAAAAGACCAAGAAAATTACCCAAAATTCGGGTGAGAATGGAGACGCTCATCAAAGGAAAGCCAGTAAGAAGAAGGCCCCTGCATTGACGGTGACGAAAGATCCCTCATCGTTAAAGCCGAGCCCCAGAAGTAAGGACCTGTCACCAGCGTCTGGCACTTCTGCAAACCTTTCTGCAAAGAATATTATTAAAAAGAAAGGAGAAATTGTAGTTTCATGGACAAGGTAAGGATCTTACGAGACATTTTACTTTTATTCTTTTAATCCTTGCTCAGGGGCCATGCTAATCTCTGTATTGTTCCAGTTTTAGTATATGTGCTGCCAAAGTGAGCACTTAGGAGACATTAAATCAGCAGGAAACTTTGGGAGGCCAGAAATCTATTCTGTCTTGTCATAGTTACATCCTCTCCTAAAATAAGGGAAGCGATGACTTCAAAAGTAGTCAACGTTAATAGGGAATATATTCTAGGGTATCATCTATAGCAGGAGCTCTTAACCAGGGATGTGCATTAGCACCATGAATAGAACTTTTCATTGTGTTTTAACCTAACTGTTAATTTTTAAAAAATGATTCTTTGTAAAGAACTGGTATTACATTTTAGAAAGGAAGAATGACAAGTGGGGTGGTGAAATAGGGCAAAAAGTGTGAGCATTTATAATTTGAGCATTTCCCTAAATTACGAGTTTCAAAAAAGTTCATAAACAGGTTGTACTTTTGACTTTTACGTGAGCTGTTTGAGAAATGCCGATTTCAGGACCCCATTTCAGACATGAGGTTAGCCACAGATGTAAACCATTGCACTGGAGCAGGGGTGGGAATGTCCAGCCCATCGACCGTATAAGGCCTGGCCCTGCCTGGAGAGAGTTAATTAAGTGTGTGACCAAAAATAGCAGGCTGAATTTTAAATGGATAATTTTGTATGGCTCATGATGTTGTAAATACCAAATAGCCCTAGGCAGAAAAAGGTTCCCCACCCCTGCACTAGAGGTTCATGTTCTGCAGGCTTATCTAGAGTGCATAATGAGGGAAGCTGAATTTTGTTGAAATTGGTCATTATTTTTATTTAATACCATAATCATCTATGCCTTAATTTCTGGTAACTTGGAGATGACACAGTAAAATCTTAGAGATCTTAATAATACACATTGGTTCTGACCATGTACAAAAAGCAGAGGCCTAGGAATTGGAAGATTTTGATTCTATTTTACTTTTTTTTTTAAATATATTTAATTGATTTTTTACAGAGAGAAAGGGAGAGAGATAGAGAGCTAGAAATGTCAATGAGAGAGAAACATCGACCAGCTGCCTTCTGCACACCCCTCACTGCGGATGTGCCCGCAACCAACGTACATGCCCCAGACTGGAATCGAACCCGGGACCCCTCAGTCTGCAGACCGATGCTCTACCACTGAGCCAAACCGGTTTCGGCTGCTTCTATTTTACTTTTGTTCTTTTGCTTATTGAGTCTGTCATCATGTTTGACCCTAATCTTTAAGGTACTATATACATTAAAGGTAGAATTAAAAAAAAACAAAAAAACCTATACTTTTGTCATTGGAATAATAAATGAGTATGTTTTAGAAAATTTTGGAAATACATATGTGCTTACAGATTAAAATCATCATCTTATTTCTCAGAGATGATTGTCAATGTTTTGATATACACACTTTTTTTCCTATGGGTTTTAATAAAAATGTCACCTCCTGTTGATGGACATTAGACAGTGGAATTTTTGGTACCTTTCTGCTTTAATCTATAAAAGCTAAATAACATTTTCTCCCTGTAGAAATGATGACCGGGAAATTTTATTGGAGTGTCAGAAAAGCGGGCCATCAATAGAAACATTTTCTTACGTAGCTGCCAAGTTGAATAAAAATTCATCTCAGGTAACTTCCCAATTTTTACATCTTTATAGTTTCACAGATGTACTACTTAAATAGATTTCATTTTAACATGTTTAAAATAGGTAGATACTTATTTGCCAACTTTTTTAAAAGTATGGCTTTTTATGTTGGACTGTTAAACACTTGGTGATTGTAGAAGAACAATTCTAATTTATTTTTCTGTTGTCTTACATTTACTTATTTGATCTTGAACAATTTTGTAATGTTTACTGTTTAGGGAAGTTTAACATTGATTCTTGATTTGGGGTGGTGAACACACAGTATGATGCACAGATTATGTATAATAGAATTGTACACCTGAAGCCTATATAATTTTATTATCATCACCCAACAATTGGGAAAAAAAAGATTAATATTGAAAGTTAGACTAGCAATCACCTATAGTATGAAGATATTTTATTTTTCCAGATATTATTTCATCTCTTTATTATTGACAGTAACTTTCTTAAGATGTTTTGTGGAAATAATCATTAAAAAAAGATCTCATAGAGCCAAGGATGGGAGAAGCAGCACTCCCAGCTTCCTCTCTTCTCCTGTCTGTACCTCGCTCTCACAGCCTGCCCACCATGCCCCCCTGCCATGTGCTCGTCCCCCAGAGCAACTTTCACTATGTCCACCGCAGCAACTTCCCACCTGAACAAAGGCATCAAGCAGATGTGCAAGTCCCAGCCTCCGGGTGAAAAAGTCCAAGCTCTGTATGTCTGGATTGACTGTCCTGGAGAAGGACTGTGATGCAAGACCCTGATCTGGACAGTGAGCCCAAGAGTATACAGAAGAGTTGCCTGAGTGGAATTTTGATGGCTCTAGTATTATGCAATCTGAAGGCTCCAACAGTGACATGTATCTTGTTCCTGCTGCCATGTTTTAGGACCCTTTCTGCAAGGACCCCAAAAAGCTGGTGTTCTGTGAAGTCTTCAGGTACAACCACAAACCTGCAGAGACCAATTTAAGATACACCTACAAACGGATAATGCACATGGTGAGCAATCAGCATCCATGGTTTGCAATGGAGCAGGAATATACTCATGGGCACAGATGGGCACCTTTTGGTTGGCCCTCCAGTGGCTTCCTTGGACCCCAATGTCCATACTCCTGCGGCATGCTTGTATGCTAGCATCAAGCCGAGGTCATGTCCGCCCAGTGGGAATTCCAAATAGGACCCTGTGAAGGAATTGACATGGGAGATATCTCTGGGTGGCCTGTTTGCACCGAGTGTGTGAAGTCTCTGAAGTGATAGCAACTTTTGATCCCACGCCATTCTTAGAAACTGGGATGATTCAGGATGCAACAACTTCAGCACCAAGGCTATGTGAGAGGAGAACGGACTGAAGTACACTGAGGAGTCCATTGAGACTCCAGAACCACATCCGAGTCTATGATCCCAAGGGGGGCCAGGACAATGCCTGGCGCCCCACAGAAACCTCCAACATCAATCAACCACTCTCCGCTGGAGTGACCAACTGTAGCGCTAGCATCCGCATTCGCTGGGTTGTGGGCCAGGAGAAAAAGGGGTACTTTGGAGACGGGCGCTCCTCGGCCAACTGTGACCCCTTCGCAGTGACAGAAGTCCTCATCCGCACATGTCTTCTCAACGAAACTGGCAGCGAGCCCTTCCAGTACAAGAACTAAGTGGACTAGACTTGCAGCCATCCAGCTCCTCCTAATTACTTCTTCATCCAGATCCCACTCTTGCCCCTCAATTGTCATAACAAATGTAACTCAAAGGGCAGAAAATCAAGGTCTTTTTTTATTTCTTGTGCCCAGTTAATATCTCTTGCTTTCTTTGGCCAGGCTAGTCTCTTCACACACACACCCTTTCCCCCCTATCACTAATGCTTTCTACTATGTTAGTGGAGAAGGGAAGGGCACATAACCACTGCTTCACTTAATCAGGTGTTTGTCCAACAGGCGTAGCTATCTGGACAGTGAGCACAGTATTTGTGAAGGGTTGGGAAGGACCTTTTTCTTCTGTGAGGTAGCTGAAGCGGGTAGGAGTGCTGGGCTTGCTCTTCGATTAGGTTAGATACTCCCTTTGGTTGGGAAGTTCCATAAAAGGTTTTAAGAAGCTTTCTAAAGAAAGTGAGAACCAGGAAAGGTGGGAGGCAGCAGGCAGGAAGCCCTTTTACCTGCCAACTGTGGCCTCTTTGCAGTGACCTGCTTTCCTGGTCTGGGGCTGAGTGCCCTCGCTGGAAGGCAAGCTCAGCATAAAGGGACGGGATGGGTAGCCCGACCTCTGAAGAAAAAGTTCTCATTGCTTGGTTCTCGGTTTATATCACAAATCAGAGTAGTATTTTTATATTTAAATACAAAAACAAAATTATATATATTGGTGTACACAGATATGTGTGCTTTTTTTTTTTTAATATATTTTATTGATTTTTTTACAGAGAGGAAGGGAGAGAGATAGTTAGAAATGTCAATGAGAGAGAAACATCGACCAGCTGCCTCTTGCACACCCCCTACTGGGGATGTGCCCGCAACCAACGTACATGCCCTTGACCGGAATCGAACCCGGGACCTTTCAGTCCGCAGACCGACGCTCTACTGCTGAGCCAAACCGGTTTTGGCTATGTCTGCTTTTTTTAAAGGGGAAAAATCATCTGGTCACTGGGAGCCAAATTTGAGGCGAGAATTCTGGTTAGAAATAAGGCTCTCATTTTGAGGGCAGGGGGAGATTGACGGTGCTTGAAAAGTTGGCTGTTGGGACTGTTAAACCCTCACTACCATTTAAGGGTTTCTCTGTGCCCTGCCTACCCTTCTGGACACGTGTTGGCTAACAGGAACAAACAGCAGCAGACACCTGAGCTGCATGGCTTTGGTTTGTAAAGACACATGCATGCACATGAGTTGGCTGGTCAACTTGTGCATATATGTTATTGACAAGAGGGTATTGGGTTATTTTCTGGGGGACTAGCATGTCACTAAAGCAGGCCTTTTGATATATTTAAAAGTTTAAAAAAAAAAAAAAAAAAGAAAAAAATCTCATTGTAATACTTAAAATTAATACTCATTTTTTACTTTTCAGGTCTCAGAAAGATTCCAGCAACTACTGAAGCTCTTTGAAAAGTCAAAAAGCAGGTAGTTAATGGTTGTACTACAGAAGATTAGTAAAATAAATGTTTGATATTGGAACTCTGCAGTTAATGGCCCATAGTCATCAAAGGTGTGAGTAGTGGTGAGAGGCATCCAGTTGGGGTCCTGCTTCAGGCACAGGTTGGAGGAGGATTGCTTGTCAGGCTTCTGAGATCACCAAACCCACAGGATGTGCTCAGAGTTGCAATTCAGATCGGCACGGCATTCCTCCCTAACCTTCCAACTGCTGATGGGTCTAAGGAGGGAATCCATTTGATGATTAATAAATTTTTTTAATATTTTAAAATAGGAAACATATGCTTGGAATCCGTTATCATCTGAATAGATGACATGATT